AAGGGGAGGAGAGAGTTGGGGAGGCATTTGGGCTGAGCCGCTGACCCTGCACAGATCCAGCACTCGAATAGTTCCAGAGAAGTGGTTGGCCCATAGGCCCTGGTCTGTCAGAGTCAGCTGTCCTTATCTGTTCTTCCATTCATCTCCCAGCCAGGCATATAAAGGGCTAGGTTTCTGGAAGTGTAATGGAAGATTCGGGACTGTGTTCTGGTCACAGGTCGGCGTGTCCACCCACTCCCTGCAAACAGTGCTGTGGAGGTTTTTATAGAGCAGTTTCACCTCTCTCTGGTGTGGTGGCCTCCCACTGGGTCTGTGCACAGACTGTCAAAATTTAAAAAAAAAAAAAAAACAAAAAAAAAAAACAGAAGTAGCCTGGTTGGGGATTTTTGCATTTAAAAAAATTAATGTTGAGTCTTAAAGACCTCACAAGGCCAATTTTTGGGCAGACCTTCCCTTCACTCATTGAGGAAATGCAGATTTGCTGCTCTGCTACTGAACAGAATAATCTAGAAATTGCAAGTCTGATTACTAAAAGGCCTGACTTGGAGGCAAATACAACTGACTGCACACAGTCACGTGACCTCTCTGGGTTCCTCAAGCCTGAACTTCAGTGGCCTACCTGCCATCAGAAAGGCACAGTCTCGATGGAGACACAGCCCAAATAAGCTTCTACGGTGTGCCAGGTCACTCTGAGACAGAATGTTTAGATTAACCACTTCATTTTCAAACTGCAAAGGAAGCATCGACTGACATGCTTAAGGAACCCAGGAACCGGAAGAGGGGAAGAAAGCAGTTCTGAGCCCGGTTGATCATTTTGATGAGTAAGCAATAAGGAAACACGGCACGGGAGCTGCAGGAACTCAGCGGGCTTCAACAGACGTGATCTCACTGCGATCTTTTTCTTAGCGCCTGAGACAGGTTAACAGGTTCCTGCCTCTCTGCTGAGACAGGGAAACTGCAGGCTTGCGGCCTCCCTGGGCACACTGAGGCTGGGCTGCTTTGTCTGAGCTGCTTACACAGCATGTGCCACAATCTGTTTTTTATCTGAGCTCCCTCCCAAGCCAGGCAGCACAGGTGGAAATGCTGCCTTCCTTAAAAATAAATAAACAAACAACAACAATAATAATAATAAATTTGCTACAGCAACACTAAATGGATCCTTTTTTGTTTCCCTAAGGAACAGTGCAAAATAAGAAGAAGGGACACTTTGGGCTTACCCGCCAGTCCAACCGTTTCCGGGTTGTGTATCCCAGACTAGTGATGGGTAAACAGTATTCCTCTAGAGAGCCCTTGGCCAAGAAAAAAAGCAAGGCAGGGTCATGCATAGCAGAGGGAAGTGACAGCTAAGGGCAGGGTGGGTGCTGTTGTCATTGAGTTCCTCTATTAAATGCTTTCTATTTCATTAGTTTTGTTTCAGTGCTGGGGATTGAACCCGGGGCCTCCTGCGTGCTAGGTAAGTGCTCTCCCACTGAGCTATACCCAAATTCTTGCTCAATGCCTTTTGGAGTACCCTTCTGAGAATATGCATTCAGTTCCCACCTCCAGACCACGCTGGGGTTCCGTGCTCTCCATTACACCTGGAGTGACACTTTTTTTTTTTTTTCCCAATCTAAGGCCTGCATGAGCTCCAGGCACTGGGCCTACTCTGGGTTTCCTACCCAGGGTTCTGGGGGTCTACCCCTGAGATGAATACCAGGTTTTGGAATGACATGGACGCCCTTGTGAAAATCTCTGTGAAGGGAGACCTGTGGGATTTCAGAACGCATGACAGGGTAGAAGGTAAAGTAGAACCATTCTTGGTTGATACTTCCTCTCTCTCAGGAAGTTCTAGTTCCCCCTTCAGCCTAGTGGGGCTTAGATTCCCAAGCCATTGCTCAATGGAGTGAGATCATGTCTTTGGGGGTACTATAGTCACTGTTTAAGTGCTGAGTGGGTGGGAACCATCCTGGCTCCACAGCCCCTCAAAATGTTGCTCCCCTGTGCCCGTGTATAGGGAGAGGGACTAGAAAGCCAGGGTGAAGTCCTGACGGCTTATAGACAAACAGCTGTGATAACTAGAAGGAGGTCTCCCAGGGCGGGCTCCCATTGGCTGATTGATGTCTGTCTTTTCCTAATCCACCTCCAGTCCTCTCATCCTGAGTGACTATCCCCTGTCACCTCCGCCTCCTGCGGCAAGCAGTTCCTTTCTGCCGGGCTCCTTAAGTAAATTCCCTGTGCATGCATGGTGACCCCAATCTGTCCCCTGGAGCTCACTCCAGGCTTTATTAGTGGAGACAGCGTGGAGGTAACAGGAGCTCACAGGCTGGAGTCTAAGGCTCAAAGTTTAGCTTCACTAGGAAGCCCTGCTTAGCTTCCCCAGAAGGCACAATAGCATAGCTTTGTGGCTACAAAGTCTATTGTTGCGTGCACTCATGAGCCATGTCTTCCCCTGTGTACAAGGAGCCAACAAGGACAGCGTGCCACCCTGGGTTGACTCAGTTACCCCAGGTACTTTCTCCTGTGAGTCCTCATGCTTCCAAGCTGAGAGCTGGCACCCCAATTAGTCAGGAGACCAGATCAGATTAGTAGGAGCATCCGATAAAAAGCTGGGCTTGTGGAAGAGATGGTTCTGTTTGTAAAGTGTTTTTTCTAGGCAAGCATGAGGATCCGAGAGTTTGAATGTCCAGCACACACATAAAAAGCCAGGCATGGCAGTCTATGCTTATAATGTCTGGGTTGAAGGATGGAGACAGGAGCAGCCAGGTTCAGCAAGATACTCTTTTCTAAAAGATAAAGAGTGGCGAGGGAGGGGCTTATGGATAGAGAACTGACTCAGCTGTCCAGTGAACTCACTGTCCTTTTAGATGACCCCAGGTCATCAGCCACCAGGATCGCCTAGAACTCTAGCCCCAGGGGATCCAAAGTCTCTGGCTTCTGTGGGTACCTGCACTCATACACACAGACAAAATACATAAACAAAATTAAAAATATTAAAAACAGATCTTTGAGTTTTAGGGATTTTTTTTGTTTGTGGCTTTTTATTTTATTTATTTATTTACTTATTTATTTATTTTGAGACAGGGTCTTTGTGGAACTCCCTATGTAGACAAGGCTGACCTTGAACATAAAACAGATCCATTTGCCTCGGCCACCCAAGTGCTGGAATTAAAGGTCTGAAGAATAAATCTTTTAAAAAGAAAGAAAGATTGCAGAAGATACTCAACACAGACCTCTAACCTCCGCATGCAAACGGGCGCCCATATGGGCACATGCATGCATATGTGTTCACACACACTCACAAGCCATGTCTGAAAGGTTCAATACAATCCCTGAACTGAATAAGAGCCCAGCGGATGAGAGCTCCACTTATATGGCAGGAGGGAAAAACCCACGTCCCATGGCGTAAAGCTTTTCCAGGAACTCAGCCATCAGAGAGGTGGAGTAGACTAAGGCTCCAGCAAGCACAGTGTCTCTGGCCAGTGACTAAGGCGGTCAGTGCATCCAACCCGGGCAGGGCTGGCTTGGGTGGGTGCCTTGGCAGGCCCACGCTCAGGGTGATGCATTTTCCCGTAAGTTCTGTGTAAGTCCAGGGCTAGCGCTGCCCTCCCTTCCCTGGAGTCGGACACTGGTCAACGATGAGAGGTGCTTCTTTAAAAAGAGGCAGAGAATGCCGGCCGGGGCCCTGGAAACTGCACATGGAAAGAAAGATTAGAGGGAGCTGGGGAGGAAAGGACAGATTCATAGGGACAAGTCATTTCCCAAAAGCCACCCCCTGTTGATTTAGCCCTGTGAGGTGTGAAGATTACAGGGCAGGTCTGCATGCCAGGCTGAGTTCTGGGATGAAAGCCAATGTCAATGAAGATGAGGTCTGAGGAGAGAGAACAGAAGCAAAGGGGCCTGATGGAGCAGTGAGAGTACAGGAGTGCTAGAGTGAGCACTCACAGGCACGCGCGTGCACACACACACACACACTCACAGGCACGTGCACGTGCACACACACACACAGCTTCTGATGTCTACAGTGCACCAAACATAACATACAGGATCTTGTCTTATCTCTGGGAATCTGTCTTCAGTGTGTGTCCTATAATCTAGGTACTAGGGAGGGGTTGGGCATAGGGGCTCCAAAGAACAACATAATAGTTCTTAAGATGCTGAACCCCTTCCTGGCTGAACACCATCAGGTAAGACAGTCAAGGGTTCTGGGGTCCCCTCACTCAGCTGTAAAGGGGAATGGAAGCATCTCCTCCCAAAAAGGCCCACAAAAAGATGTCCTGTGTTCAGCTTCCAAAAGGGTTTCAAAGAGGGCCTGGCCTGTGGTAAGGTCCTAAGCAGTTACTGGGAGCTCTTCAAGCCAGCTCTAGATCCCACAGCCTGAGGCAGACAGTCCAAGGCACCTTTTTATACCTGAGACCAAAAGACGGCTACAAAGGCAAAATGACTCACTCTGTCACTGTAGTTTTCTCAGAGAACAGAAGCGACAAATTATCGCAGGCTGGGAAAGTCATTTCCTCATAGCTCTCAAGTTACCAATCTACACAAGACCAGGACTCAGCCAGGTCCACTTCACCTGAGACCTCTTCCCTTGCCTGGGCTGTGGCCGTCTCTCTCAAAAGCCTCAGCTATATCTTCTGTGGAAGGCATGTGTGTCTCAATACCCTCTTCTCACACCAGTCACACAGGCTGAGGACCCACACTTGAGGCCTCACTGAAAAAAAAAATCACCTCTTCAAAGACCCTGTTTGGGATCACAGTCATATTCTGAGATGGAAGGCTAGGACGTCATCATACACTCTAAGGGTCACGATTAGACTAGGCTGGAGGTAGCAACCATCACCTTCTCCCAAAACTTTCCTGATAGATATATATTACCTTACCAGTGTTTCTGAAAAAACCTTGACTTCGGTCCAGCCAGAGTCACATTCCCACTGTGGGACAGGTCTATGTGTCTCCTCAGAGAGACCAACAGGCTCATGAGACCAAGAATGGGTCTCCCCCATCTTGAAACAACTCCATCTCACCTGTGCTGTTTACAAGCCGGATCTCACAGGTAATTCTTCCACCTCAGGACTGACTGCTTGCCACGGGCATGAACATGCCACTGCCAGCGTCCATGGTGACAGAACTCGGCTCTCTACAAGGGATGAGGAAACACGGAAAATGTGTCACTTAACTACTCCAGCTCCTTTTCTTCGGCATTCCATTCAAAGCCTCTATGCTTGTGGAGGTAGGATATACCACGTGGTGTTCACACAGGGCCCGCTGCTCTTGCGAAAGCTTCTCAGAGGAACAGGGGTATGCAGCGCGGTTCTGCCCAGCTCTTCCATACAGAAGCTGAGCGGTTGACATAGTGACCACTAAAGAATCAAGGGAACCGAGGTTTGCCTTGTGAGCTCCGGAGGTTCACTGTGGCCTGGCCATAGGCTGAGCTCTTCCCAGGGGGTCGAGCACACAGTGAGCCCTTACCAACCAAGAGCTCTTCTCTTCATTCTTAAAAAGCATTGCCCTTATGTTTCCCCTGTTTCTCTGTTCTCCTCTCCTTGGGAAACACCACTTTCTCCTAGAGAGAGGAGGGACAAGACCATGGTTTCCTTTCTGTGCTGAGTGGCAAGGCTACTTAAAACCATTCAGGAGAACAGAAGATGTTTTCTAAGCATTAGCTTCTTCCGCTTACAAATACTTAATACTGGCACTGGAGAGATGGCTTAATGGTTAAGAACATTGTCTGTCCTTCCGGAGGCCCTGGGTTCACCTCTCAGCATCCACCTGGCACCTCACAACTGTCTGTTATTCCTGTTCCAGGGGACCCGACACCCTTGGCAAAACATCAATACACATAAAATAAAAATAAATTTAAAAAATACTTAATACCGTTCCCCTTTGCCTCTACACCCACCACAACAGAGCCATGTTCACGTGCTACTCTCTATATCCCTGGCACCAGGCACATGTCATCTATAGCAGGTACCTAATATAATCATTAGAATACGTGGTACCTAATAATCGCTTGGCAAGTACAGTGAATAGTGACGTGCAGGTGGGGGCAGGAAGGCCATGAGTAGACAAGCTGCCTCTGCGCTCCTTCCTCACACATAGTGAGTGCCCACACACAGGACACCTAACCGCTGGCAATGAGAAAACCAAGCAGATGTGCACCTAACCCATCAAACTGGCAAGCTTGTGACCCAACAGAGGGGTGCAATAATGTGGGAAATGGGGCTCCGCACCCAGTGAGTAGGGGTACAAACTGGGAGGACTGTTCTGGAAACAGCTTGACATCGTGGGGAATAGAAAATATTCAGCAGACTCATAGGCAGCAGTGTTGCTGGCCCCCCTGTGTAAACCCCCAAGAAGCTTCAACACTTGCCTCCCATAGGGAACACCGGAAAGTTCACCCCAGTAACACTGGCTGGTATAGAAACACAAGAAATGAAAAAGAAACCAGGGTGTCATCAAGCATAATGTCATTCATCGGGAGGTGACAGATAAGCAGTCCTTGGAAAAGCAGTGCCTAGCATTGGTCACTGTCCATTCCCTTTGAACTACTTTGCCCCTCACCCACCCACCCAGGCCAGCTCATTGTCCAGTGTTATCAGCTCCTGGCCTTGCCCACAGAGGACAGCAGAATTCACATATGAAAAACAGCAGCAGGCTCCAGGGAACCTTTTCACTTGTCTTTTTGCCCAGGAGATTTTTTTCCCTGACAAAGAGCCTGGCCCTTAGCCATGAGCCCTGGGGAGGAAGAAACCGCGTTCATTCCATTTAAACCAATTTGCCAACCCAGACAGCAGCTAATGGGCAGCCCGGGCCCTCCCAGTCATCAATACCACTTTCCAAATCAAGTTACCAAATTGGTCTTAAAACCACTTCAAAGGGACCCGGTTGACCGTTACCAATGAGACATCCAGCTGTCCCTGTGACCACCATTCCTACTGCCAATATCATTTTTCCATAGCACTGGGGACAGAGGAACAAGCTGACTGTGTTTCCCCTAAATGTCTGAACCTCCAGAATAGAACTATACAATTGAAACAACTATTAGATTAGAATCAAGGAGGACCAATGGACAAGCCACAGAGAGACCTTTTGCTCCCTCTGAATCCCTAACTGTTTAACTGTGTGGTGTTAGCATGCTTATTAGGCCTCATTTTATAGCTGAACAGACTGAGATGGTGAAAGCCAGGCAAGGTCTCAGGCTGGCTAGCAAGTGGTAGATATAGAAACCACAGTCAGAGCTCAGGCCCTGAACCAAGCTGGTTTTATGCAGACGCAGATCTCAGGACCTGAATCTCTTCTCTACGGCTACACAGAAAATGTCAACTGAACCTCACACAAGAACTGAGAGCCCTTTTCCTGAAGATGTTTGTGTCAGTCATAAAGAGACTGCCAGCATTTTCTAGAGCACCGATAGAAAACGAAACATTTCACCACTTTGTTTTCCTGTCACATGTAAGTCTGAGCTCTGAGAACACGGGATGGCTTTCCATCCGGGAAGCTGAGTAAATGTTCAAGGTCACACAATCAGGAAAACAGAAGTATGTTCCTCTCATACAACAGGCATGAACTTCGCTTCCAACACTGAAAATGTTCCATGACCAAGCATGGGGGTTAATCTTAATTGTTAACTTGACTAGATTTTGGGTCCTCTTTGTAGGTGACTTCTAGGTGTTCTGTGAGGGCGTTGACAGAAAGAAATCTGAGGCATGAAATCCCAACCCCATGAACCTGACCAGCAGCATTCCATGGACTGGGGTCTAGTATTGAGTTTTAAAAAAGGGGGGAAAAAATGAGGACTCCAGATGAGAACCAGCATTCACCTGTCTCTGTTTCTTGACTATGATGCCATGCAACCAGCCACGTCAAGCTCCTGATGCCAGAACTACAACTGCTCTCACACCATGATAAATTGTACCCATCAAACAGTGAGCCACAATAAAAGGTTCCTTTAGTAACAGCAAGGGGAAAATAGTACACCAAGTTACGTGTCAACTTGTCCTTAGACACAAAGCTCTCTAGATGGGTCTATGCCAGCACTACTAGGTTTAAAGAGACACAAGATCTGCAAACCCACTGTCTCCAATAAATAAGAGACTTTGCACTCTCCACTTTCCACTAGGGAACAGTTGATATCTGGAACCACGTTGAGTTGTCAAAACTAGGGTTGGTTTTTTGTGGAGCTGCTGGTACGAAGTAGGAAAAGGGGGGTGGGGACTATTAAACTGCACAAGACAGCCAAGTGTTGAACCATCAGATCCAAGATGTCAACAGTAGGAGACAGAGACACCTTAGTTTAGATCTCGCACAGGTCACTACAACTTGATCATCCTTAGGCCAAACAAGGAAAGCGTCTCTACCACTCACTACAACACTGCTTCCTAATTTGCATTAGACTTAACACACTCCATTTTTACAGCTAGCACAGGCAGAGCCTCACAAAAGTTCAAACACAGAGAAGAGCTGGGTTGAAATTCATCCCGTGAGATGATTCTGGAAGCTCGAGAAATCTGTCCTTTCATGCAGTATTCCTGAAGACCTACAAGGAGTCAGACCCCATGCTAGGATGAGCACTGATACCAACATCAAGCACTACTTTCTCAAATGCAGAAATGGAGTCACCTTTGTCATCTCACCATCTCCATGTGGCCTAGAGAGCATGCCCAGGCCCCAATCCCCAAGCCCCATCTAGCATTCTATTCTTTCTTAGAAGAAAGGCCCAAGATAGGATGGCAATCTGAGTTAAAATGGTGCCTCATAAAATCTCACAGACAGACCTAACAGTTTCAGAACAGCCACTATTTCCATGGGTAAGAGCTGATGCTCAGCTTCAGGGCAGGACTGACACAGAACTATGGACTTTGCTTTCTCCTGAAAGATGCTGAAGCTGGAGGCTCGGGTACCTGAAATGACAAACACGCCAGCTGCCAGGATGAGTCAGCTCTACGGTAGATGGAGATTTCATAGTCACGCCGGAACTATCACTCACAGGAAAGCCCTGGGCTCTCGCTGGGTCTAGTTCAACAGCTGTAGAATGGGTGGCTGCACACCCTGCCCCCCTCCCAGCCTCAAGAGGCCATCACAGGTCAAAGGGGAGAGACGTAGTAGCAGCAGTTTCCGGGCCGGATCAAAAATGCAAATGAGATGATATGTTAATGAGAGGCAGCTGTGAGCTCGCCAGCACCAAACTGCACTGATTTCTTTCCTTTGTCCCAGGCAAACAGACCCGGGTTAAGTTTAGATAAGAAATGCAATTTAAAAAGATTCCCTTCCAAACACAATGCGGAAAAACAATACCTCACAAGTGGTTGGGGGAGGGGCATATAAGGCACACTGGTGTGTTTAGGAATAACTGGGAAAGGCGGGACTACACTCCAACTGAAAGTCTGCCAAGGTGGGAGGAGACTAGGGCTTGGGATGACTGTGGCAAGGGAGTCATGACTCTGACCCCAAATATGGGTCCATAGGCAAAAGGCCCCACAGAACACCTCACGGTAGGATGATCTTTGGAAAAAGACCCAAGTTCAGGGCCAGGCTGGGAACTTGCAATGCTTAGTACTGACTGCCAACCTGACAGGATCTAAAATCACTGAAAAGATGAGCCTCTGGGCACACCTGTGAAGGATTATCTCTTTTAGGTTAAATGAGGTGAGCAAACTCTCCCTGAATATTGGCCATGCTACCCCACGGACTGGAGTGTTGTCTGATATTTTGATAGTGTCACTGATGTGTGAAGTTTTGATTGTGTTTGGAGCTAGAGGTTGGAGCTCGCCACTAGCTGACTAGAGGTTTGGAGAACTGGAGATAGAGAGGAAACAGGAAGTAGTAAGTAAGAGGATCAAGGAACTTCAGTAGAGGTAGGAAGCAACTGGTGGCTGGTCTGCTCTCTGACTCCAAGCAAGTTTTATTTGTCAGAGCACAGTCAAAATACCACACAACACTGGGGTTCTAGACAGCACAAAAAAAAGGAGAAAGAAGGGTGAGCACCAGCATCCCATTCCTGACTGAGGATGAACTGTGAGCAGCTGGCAAGCTGTCACCATAGTTCCCTATGATGATGGGTTACTCTTGAACTGTGAGCCAAAGTCATTCAGTCTTCTTCCTTCAGGTTTGCTTCGTGGAGAGTGTTTTACATCAGCT